GAATGCTCTCATGTCCTAGAACACACCTCTTTCAATGCCTGGACTCTTACAGAAGCCATTATTTCGGGGTCTCTTTAAAAATCCAGCGCCCATCTCTCTTCTCTCCCTCCCTCCGCCTTCCCTCCCTCCTCACCACACCACCCCCAGTGAAATCCTGGCACCCAGAGAGCACTCCTTTCAGCCTGAGAGCCCACAACCAGCCGTTGTCCCCTGGCAAAAGAGGCCCAATGCTGAGCCCTGGGCAAGTGTCTCAGACTTTGCTACCCCTGCTTCCCTTATTATTATAGTTTCCCTTCCCAGCAGACACCATTTCCATTTGCCATCAAAACTAGATTGCATCCAAAAGTTTCTCACAAGCTTAAAAAAGAAAAAAACGACAAATTGCCAACCATTACACAGAAGAGCCCACAAAAGCTGCTACAGCACCAGGGGTGAAGCAGGACCATCAGACTCAGGTAAGCCCTGAGAAGTGAACATCTCTGGGGTCTCCTAGGCCCATCATTTAGGGGTTTGAATCTCTTTCAGGTGCTCCACATGGGTAGGGTGCTTATGGCTGGTTGCACTTTGATGGCCATGAAGAGTGCTTGGTGGGGGAGGTGGGGGGTTGATTTGTTTCTAAGCAAAAGGAAAATGAGAAAGAAATCATAGTAAGGTGAGGTGGGAGTAAAGGATGAGCAACAGACTATCCAGGAAGTGAGGGGCTTATAAAGGGTGTTCAGTGTATGTAGTTTTAACTCTCAGGCCTTGAAGCCAGGGTCAGGATGGCTGACACCCCCTAATACTCCACTTTTTATCCAAGGTTCACTGTAGGCCTTCCCAGGAAGGCCATCGGAGAGCCTTTTTTAATGAGGGACAGGTGGATTGATGCATGGACTGCCTGGCTTCTCTCTATGCACTTGTCTATCACCTTTGGTTTGAGAAATGCCAATATCGTAAAATCCAGCTAGAAGAAGAGGAACTGAGAAAGTACACGCATTTTATTCACTTGTCTTGTCGTCTAGCCTCTCTCTGTTATGGTATTAAGAGTGAGTTTCAAGTTTCTCTGAAAAGCTTCTGATACTAGCAAAATGGGCCACTTAGATGTTGGTACTTATGGCTCCTAAATTTTTTCTTCTCTCTCTCCCATACTGAAAGGATTAAAACACTTGTATATGACAGGCCATTTTTATTCACCCCAAAACCTGGCTGAAGATCTGGACAGAAATGAAATGAATGAATGACTCTTTCAGCAACAGGAAAATGTGATATTCCTAAACATCTCCCCAGATCACATATTCCCTGATACCTTATAGGTGAAAAAGTTGTTTGTTCTCCTTTGTTTTTTTTTTTGTAACTGGCAGAAAGTATATTGATTTCTAAAAGAAATAGAGCATTTCAGGTAACTGGATTTTTCAAAACCCAGTTGTGTATTTGAAAATAAGCAATGTTACCCAATTTGAGTCTCACTAACCTCTAGAGAGATGAGCCTTAGCTCTTAACTATTAACTACTATTTTTCTTGTAAACTTTTCCTTTCTAAAGAAACTGCAGGGACAGGTTGCAAATCCTGAGCAGTTTCATGAAGGATTTCTTGGTGCTTAATAAACCCACTCTTTTTAATATACACCACAACTTTTGATTTATCTGTTTCTTTTCTTTTCTTTTCTAAGTTTATTTAACTCCTGCATGTGATATGCAAGGAGACTCTGCATATCACACCCTGGCTCCATAGCCAATAACAATATTTTAAAACTAAATAAAAAAGAGACAGATGACCTCCTGACCCCAGGAAACAGGCCTGCAAAGCTGCAAGTATCTACTACACCCTGCCTGGGACAATTCCTTCATCCAAATGAACCACAAAGATCATACATGAGTAGCCTGGAAGGCACAAATTTATATGCACAAGCAAGCACACCAAAAATTCATTCAAAAATGCATATATAAACAACCAACAAGCGCTGAAATTGCCTGTATTTGATGGGAATCACAAAGCCATGTCCAGCTTTCTTAGCCTTTAAACTACTACTGTCAAATTACAGCAGCAATGTTGTCCCAGTAGAGAATTCACAACCAGTTAGGTTCTTCCCCCCCATTGCGAGCCCTTTGCCTTTCACTGAAACAAATAAATAACCTTGGACTTTTTTTTTTTTCTCCTCCTCTGGGAGCTGTTTGATGTCCCCTGAGGAAAAAACTAAATGAGAAAAATGACACTGTTAATAATGTGGCTGTTGAAATGCCTGTACTCTACTGTTAAAAAGTATGTATATATTGTCCCACTAAAGTGTGCCTCCATTTTGGGCACATTTACAAACTGTAGCTCTGAATCTGAACACCACCAGGGACAGATTCCTTCATCAAGGTTAGGAGCTTCCCATGTCTCTACAGAGATGAGGACAGTTCATGCAAAGAGAGTCTCAACTTTAGAAGACATTTGGTCTCCAGATTACAAAGTCAGCAGTTGCCTTGTAACTTTTGCATGATTTATTTTAAACTTTGAAAATCAAGGTAGTAGTTGCTTCACTTCATTCACAATACTACGGAAGTTATATACACTATCATATACAACTTCTTCTCTGACATTGAAAGCTGGAGTTATTGCTATTTTTCAAATTAGCTGACCTTTAAAGTAAAATTACACAACTGTTTTATTTCTACATGTAAATTGGCTTCCATTACCCATGCCTTTGTGACATAGGAAAACAGATCAGTTTTTAAAAAGAGACATTCAGAAAGCTCTGTTTAAAACAGCCAGCCAAGAGGTCTTTACAGCCCTATTAAGTATAAAAAGTGTATTGCAGACCAACTCATACTTTCTGCATCTCTTTTTCAAATATTTGCTTTGAAAACTGCTATTCTCTTTCAATATCAAAACAATACACAGCAAAGAAATTGTACATTTTAACTTGAAAGTTAAAGTTTAGGAAACGATTACATAATCACAAAGAGGAAACACAAAAAATAGGACTACACGACATATACATTTTTTTTCTACACGACATATACATTCAGTAAACGATCTGAATGTATCTAAAGTATTATAACGGCACAAGCTAATAAATTTCAAAGTAGTACTATTGGAAAGTTGTGTGCTGTCACAAGCTCTAAAAACAAAGTCACAGATACTTGTGATATCATGTTTGCTCAAAATTATACTTCTGCTCAGTCAGACTATATTAAAATTAAGTGGATGCTCATGTCTACTAAATAATGAAAAAATTATTTTGGACATCAAACAATGAAACTGTCACCATTTATTGTATGAAACACTCAGCTAATCAACTTCCTATTAAAATAGCTTTCAGCAATACTTGGCTTTAAAATTCATCAGGGCCAGTAAAAACCTTTTCCCAGTGCACAAGAATGCAGTCCCAAGCAAGGACGATAATTGCCGTTCTAATACTTTTATTGCCCAAGCACTTTTTCCTGTGCTCCCCATCACTTAAGCAGGAATCTGCAGTATATTGTATCAGTGAGCTGGAGTGCTTGACCTTTGCCCACATATGATTTAATAGGGACTTTTCAGCGCTGGAGCTTTCTCCATTTCTCATACCATTAAATGAAAACATCAAACTTCACATGTAAAACTGGAAACCACAACGTTTTTTGTTTCCCAACTCTTTGCAGTTTCTACTTAGGCTGCTTAAAGGTCAGCTTTTTTTGCCTCACAGTGCTCTTCTCGGTACCGCAAACGCTCTCCAAAGTCACACTGATTCTGATTTTGATTAAATCTTGAGCTCCTCAGTCATATACACACATGCACCCTGCTTATTTACACGTGCATTCTTTTCTAACCACATGAGCATGCCTGTATGACTTTCTGGATTTAGTCCATTTTAGAGCTCATTTAAATGTCTGTTCAAATATGGGTTCAAAAGCTAACTTTTTCCCGCCTGTTGGAAGTTAAAGTTACAAAGGATGGTGCTATAAGATCTGTTCAAAGAAAGTCGGAGTTAATCTTGTGTGTTTTGGCGCCTTTTCCCTGCCAGCTACTGTACTGGGGGGCGGGGAACGAGAAGGGGGACTGGAGATCTTGTCTGTCCCGTGTCAAGTTCAATGGCAGTTCTTCCAACCAGAGGAGAAGATGGCCATGTTCACAACCCTAATAATAATTCTGATCACGCCACTTCGGCATCTTGTGTCAAAGTCGAAACTGGCTTCCCCGCCCCCTTCAACCTGAAAGCTGCCAAGTCCTCACACACTCCACATTCAACCACAACTTAATGGATGGGATATTGTGCATTAAAATGTGTCCCAGACAAACTGGCGATGAGAGGACAAGGGAAAAATGAGACAGACAACAGAGAGAGAGAGAGAGACTTAGCCAGAGGTGAAAAAAAAAAATCCTAGAGCAAAACAGCAGGATGAGAGAAAAAAGTATTAACAGGAGTGGGAAGAAATCCATCATAATCTTTATTTAAGGAGGAAGAGAAGACAAGAGAAGGGTTAACATTGCCATGCCACAATTTGGGAGATAGGGCAGCGGGGGCGGGGACTAAACTTTGGTATGAATACTGTTTTTAAAGCTGCCACCACATCAATCAGAGCTAAGTTATACTTTCCTCACTTTAAAAATGTACTTTAAAGTGAGAATATGCAACAAAATTGTACCTTAAAATGAAGAATACTTCAAGAATAGAAAATGGGCGTGGAAATACAACTGAAGTATCATTTTTCCAGTAACTCTTTCTGACATGAAGGGGTAAGAGGAGAAGATAGGAGTTGAAACAGGGGAAAAATGCTAGATTCTGCACTGCTTGGACTCATAATATTATCCACTGATCCCCGCCATACAAGTACTGAAGTTTCCATGTATGCTTGAAAAATACATACATGCATTAGTTCTGCAACTCCAGCATTATAGCTCAACCTGGAAAGCAGAAATGAGCCTTAGGAAAGGGGTACAACAGTCACTTTACAACGCACAGAGGGTGAAAAAAATTGTGCCTGGGGTGGGGGTTCAAGGGACGAGAACAGACAAGCAGATAAAACGCATCATTTTAAAGCCACATACCATTGCACTGTATTGCATTAAATAAAAGAGATCTTGAGTCTGTCACAGAACCCTGGGCGGCTGACTTCACGTGTCTCTTGGGCTCAAATTTGTGGACTTTCTCAAGGATTATTGGTGTCGCTTTTTGTGTTTAGTTTGGAGGGGGGAAAAAAGCAATCCAGGAGTAGTCTTACATTTTTTTTTTAATTACGACTTCTGCCCTGCCACAATTCTTGGCCCGAGAAGAAAAAGCGATCCAAGTCAAGTCTACTAGCAGGCATAGCAGGCAGCCTCAGTCTGGATATCCAGTTTTTCTTCCTCTCACTTGCAGACGACTTTCTCGTGGTTGACTTGAACACCGTCCAGGGTGTGCGTGTGTGTGTGTGCGTGTGTATGTGTGTTCGGCTTTATTGTTTTAGCGGAGCGGCTGAAGAGGTGGGGGCTGCGCAGGGCAGATGCGGCCGCGGGGTCGCGCGCTCGCCCC